CTGATATACACCTGAACATCAGCAGGAGAGGACTCTTTAAAGTAGAGACTCTACATACTGATATACACCTGAACATCAGCAGGAGAATTTAAGGCCCCGTCCACACGGGAGACGAAAACGACGAAAACGAACCGAGGTCGATATAAAAGAAGTCTCCCGTCCACACGGAATCGGCTCAAGAAACGCTGGAGACGCTGTAGTACATATGCCGGGCCTGTAAGTGGCGCTGTACTTCCGCCACAAAATACACCAAAAGCAGCAAATAAGACCCCTGAGCATGGTTGCCATGGTTTCCCTTCTGTTTATGCCCCGCGGTGGATTTAGCAACATGTAGTTCATGTAGTTCTCCATGTCCACTTGTTGATGGTTGTGGTAGAGGAGCTGTAGATGTTGCACTAACTGTATCATGGTCAGTAGCGTCTGGAGCACGAACGCAACCCTGTGATCCGCCATTGTTGTTGTTGTTGGCGAAACGCATCAGCAATGACGCGGGGATTAGCAGGAGAGGTGGGGAGAGGCGGGGCTATGGTCGTTTAGTGCGTACACACGGAGCCGCAAGCGTTACGTTACCATACCTTCCCACTTTGGGATGCGCTATTGTTTGAGGGCTCCGTTTCCACGGTTACGTTACGGCCTCGTGTGGACGAACCGTCCATACGATAAAGAACTATAGCGGATAACACCCGTTTCGTCTCCGTGTGGACGGGGCCTAAATGTCTCCGAGACACAAGAGAGTCAATCTGCATCATGCTAGATAATATGATGCGTCAGCAGTGAGACAAATCAGGAGGAAATCCTTTCAAATGTACGTTTTTTTACTTTGAATTTCCCTCTTTTTTACTATATCCACACAGTACAGAAAGACCCCCTTTCCAGCTACATAAAGGTGTGTATGCAGGGGTTGGAAACATGGGAAAACACACTAAAATAGGCGAAAGACGTGCAAATTACAGTCAAATTGTACGCTGTTTTGTCACCTTTGCAGCAACTTAACCAAAAGAGTGTTTTTATAAAAGTACAATATGTCAGGGTTATGTTGGAGGGGCCCTACTGTTTCAGGAATGATCATTTTGTGCAGAAATGTTCAAATATTTCTACTTTCCATGCATTAAAACAGAGAAAAGCTGCAAATCGCTTTAATTGAGAGCCCAGAAAAAGTATTTTAGGAAATGTTGTTGTTAAAAAAATATGACTTCAATCATTAATTATGGAAATTGATGCCAATTATTTCACAATTAATCGACTAATCGTTGTATGTATGTTTTTTCTGTTGTTTATTCTCCTGTTTTTCTGTAACTTTTGCAGCAAGACCAACCAAAAATATGACAAAAGTATATTTTTATAAAAGTACAATACATCTTAGTTATGATGGGAGAGCTTTACTGTTTCAGAAGTGGTAACATTTTGCAGAAATTTGCACAATTATCCAATTTAAGTGACATTTTGTGGAACACCGGCTTAAATATCGACCAAATGAGCCCGCTTTCAAACTTCTTTTAATGTTGACACCACATCACATCATAAGACATTCTTCATTTTCATAAATTCAGACAAACAAGGCTTCACAATAAAAGCACGGCTCAGCGTTTTAGCCAAATGTCTTCGCTAAAATGTCCCGATGTAACATCAGTCTGTTAATAAGCTCCCCTGTGAGAGGAGAAGGACAACGCCACAGGTTTGTTAGTGTTAAACAAACACCTCTGAGATGTTATTGCTGATTCAACACTGACGTCAGGTCTCCGCGGAAACAGCTGAGTCATGATAAAATAAACCTGAACATAATCCTGGATCAGATGGAGAGGCTATAATAAAACATGGATTTATAATCAGCTTTCATTAAGTCGATTACACGATGTGTGTCCACTGAGCGTCTGAAGAATATAAACAAATACAAGGTTTAATTTCAGACTGATAGGTACATTGCATTCACTATTTAAATGTTTACTTCTCCACCACAATACGATACTGTTCCTTCACTGCATTCACTCAAGAACCTTAGTTACTATGCAGATTTAGAATATAATCAAGATTTCATAGTATAAATAAAACGTGTATACGTAGGTCAAATGTACAAGGTACCCAGAAGTATATGCTTTAATAATATTAATCTCCAGCTGCAACGAGTAGTGGACAGTCAGAAAAATAACAGCCAACAAAAACCATCGTCCTCTTTTGATTTTGTGTCATAGAAACAAATTAAATACGATCTACAGAGTGCAGCAGCTTCCTTTGATCAGGGTAACATAGTGTGTGTGTGCGTGTGGTGTGTGTGTGTGTGTGTGTGTGTGTGTGTGTGTGTGTGTTGTGTGTGTGTGTGTGTGTGGTGTGTGTGTGTGTGTGTGGTGCTTTTGAAGCTTGTTGCCAGCTGGAATATCAATGGTTTCCCATGAGAAATCCCTAATGATGGATCAATCGACATCAATGTGTGTGTGTGTGTGTGTGTGTGTGTGTGTGTGTGTGTGTGTGTGTGTGTGTGTTGCCTAGCATTACTATCCTTGTGGGACCTAAATCTGTTTACATAGTCACGTGTGGGGACTCGCCGCCCTTATGGGGACAAAATGGAGGTCCCCATGAGGGGAATCATTAATTTCAGGGTGAAGACTTGGTTAGGTTTAGGCATGTGTTGGTTATGGTTAAGGTTAGGATAAGTCTCCAGGAAATGCATGTAAGTCAATGTAATGTCCCCTGAAATGATGCATACATGGTATGTGTGTGTGTGTGTGTGTGTGTGTGTGTGTGTGTGTGTGTGTGTGTGTGTGTTTCTCAAAGGTCATTGAGGAAGAATCCCTTTGTAGTTGGTGTGTGTCCTCTAGTCTAAATCTCAATAATGCCTCCAGTGCTGAAATAAGTGTGTTGTCTCATTAACATCCCTTTCTAACTCTGATGTAATCCAAAATGCAACATACTGATATACACCTGGACATCAGCAGGAGAGGACTCTTTAAAGGAGAGACACTACATACTGATATACACCTGAACATCAGCAGGAGAGGACTCTTTAAAGTAGAGACACTACATACTGATATACACCTGAACATCAGCAGGAGAGGACTCTTTAAAGTAGAGACACTACATACTGATATACACCTGAACATCAGCAGGAGAGGACTCTTTAAAGTAGAGACACTACATACTGATATACACCTGGACATCAGCAGTAGAGGACTCTTTAAAGTAGAGACACTACATACTGATATACACCTGAACATCAGCAGGAGAGGACTCTTTAAAGTAGAGACACTACATACTGATATACACCTGAACATCAGCAGGGAGAGGACTCTTTAAAGTAGAGACACTACATACTGATATACACCTGAACATCAGCAGGAGAGGACTCTTTAAAGTAGAGACACTACATACTGATATACACCTGAACATCAGCAAGCAGGAGAGGACTCTTTAAAGTAGAGACACTACATACTGATATACACCTGGACATCAGCAGTAGAGGGACTCTTTAAAGTAGAGACACTACATACTGATATACACCTGAGACATCAGCAGGAGAGGACTCTTTAAAGTAGAGACACTACATACTGATATACACCTGAACATCAGCAGGAGAGGACCTCTTTAAAGTAGAGGACACTACATACTGATATACACCCTGAACATCAGCAGGAGAGGACTCTTTAAAGTAGAGACACTACATACTGATATCACCTGAACATCAGCAGGAGAGGATCCTTTAAAGTAGAGACACTACATAATGATATACACCTGAACATCAGCAGTAGAGGACTCTTTAAAGTAGAGACACTACATACTGATATACCCCTGAACATCAGCAGGAGAGGACTCTTTAAAGTAGAGACACTACATACTGATATACACCTGAACATCAGCAGGAGAGGACTCTTTAAAGTAGAGACACTACGTACTGATATACACCTGAACATCAGCAGGAGAGGACTCTTTAAAGTAGAGACACTACATACTGATATACACCTGAACATCAGCAGGAGAGGACTCTTTAAAGTAGAGACACTACATACTGATATACACCCTGAACATCAGCAGGAGAGGACTCTTTAAAGTAGAGACACTACATACTGATATACACCTGAACATCAGCAGTAGAGGACTCTTTAAAGTAGAGACACTACATACTGATATACACCTGGACATCAGCAGTAGAGGACTCTTTAAAGTAGAGACACTACATACTGATATACACCTGAACATCAGCAGGAGAGGACTCTTTAAAGTAGAGACACTACATACTGATATACACCTGAACATCAGCAGGAGAGGACTCTTAAAGTAGAGACACTACATACTGATATACACCTGAACATCAGCAGGAGAGGACTCTTTAAAGTAGAGACACTACATACTGATATACACCTGAACATCAGCAGGAGAGGACTCTTTAAAGTAGAGACACTACATACTGATATACACCTGAACATCAGCAGTAGAGGACTCTTTAAAGTAGAGACACTACATACTGATATACACCTGGACATCAGCAGTAGAGGACTCTTTAAAGTAGAGACACTACATACTGATATACACCTGAACATCAGCAGGAGAGGACTCTTTAAAGTAGAGACACTACATACTGATATACACCTGAACATCAGCAGGAGAGGACTCTTTAAAGTAGAGACACTACGTACTGATATACACCTGAACATCAGCAGGAGAGGGACTCTTTAAAGTAGAGACACTACATACTGATATACACCTGAACATCAGCAGGAGAGGACTCTTTAAAGTAGAGACGCTACATACTGATATACACCTGAACATCAGCAGGAGAGGACTCTTTAAAGTAGAGACACTACATACTGATATACACCTGAACATCAGCAGGAGAGGACTCTTTAAAGTAGAGACACTACATACTGATATACACCTGAACATCAGCAGGAGAGGACTCTTTAAAGTAGAGACACTGCATACTGATATACACCTGAACATCAGCAGGAGAGGACTCTTTAAATGTACTTTGCAGCCCTTACAAGATGTGTAAAAGTTAAAAAGTGACTCACCTGGTTTCTTGCACATGTACGAGTAGAATCCCTCCGATTTGAGCATGATGAGCAGCGAGCCCCAGCCAAGCAGCACGGCGGAGAACAAAAGGTTTTCAATAACCGCCGTCACCGCCATCCACCAGCGGCGAGAAAACGCCGTGGCCAGAGAGGGCGCCATGATGGAGATGGAGAGAGAGGGTCACTTTTAAAGTTTGCCTTACGGGGGAAGGGGTGGGGGGAGGCTGCCGCCTGAAAGACAAGAAGCAGGGAGAAGAGATGAGATGAGGATCAGACTGCTGTGTATTTGAGGACACTTCATGGTCGCTTTGAATTTGTATTATGTCTATTTCTATAATGGTTCTCTTTGTGTTGAACTTGAGTCATTTTGTGATGACTGTGTATGTTGGCCGTTATATATTCGTTTTGCAGTCATTTTCTGTCTGTTAGGGATTATTTTCTGTCTCTTTGATTCACGATGTGGCTTTTTGTGCATTTTTTGGTCCTTTTGTTTTCGTTTTGTCTTTTGAGTTAATTTAGTCTCTTCTTGAGGTGATTTTTTGTCTATTTGTGGTCATTTATGAGTAACTGTGTAATTGTTTGTGTCTTTCTGTAATAAGTGTCCGTTTGTTGTGTGTTTCTTTCTGTAGTCCTTCAGTGTCACTTTACAGCCTTTTGTTCATAGTTGTTTGTTGTCTCTTTGTGTGTCTTCGCAGCTGTTCTGCGTCTCTTTCTTGTTGATCCTGTCTCAGTGGGCCCTGTGCGTTTAATCCATCCATGCTGCATGAACATAATTACAGAACAGACCTCAGCTTTCCTTGTTTTTAATCTTTCTGTCTATTTCTATCCTGTAAAACATTCTCGTAACTGTGTAAGAACATTAAAAAACTACTAATCCAGAGACCTAATAGTTGCATATTTACATATATTATCTAATAAATCTCTTTCTGCCTCCTTTCTTATGACTTCATGTGTTTTTCATGACTCTCTGTTCCTGCTTTACACACATGTCTTTGTTCTTGCAGATGAGGATGAAGAAAACACACCAACAGAAACAGCTGAGGAGCGTTAACCCCTCCTATTCATATTCATAAGTCCCGCCCACTCTCGTTTCTGATTGGCTTGATACTTCGTCTGCTCTTCTCCTATTGGTTGCTAGTGACATAAGGTGCAGCAGCTACACGTGAGGCTGGTGTTGCATTCAGGAACTGTGGGGAAACAATGAAAAGAGGTCTTTACTGTTAGAAAATAAAGACTTTAGTGAGGTTTTTCACATGTATATGCGAAGTAGAGGAGATGAGTATAATACCAGAATTAAGTTTCCTGATGAATGCGTTCCAGCTTTATGTAACGTAAAATAAACCTGATTTTTAATGGTTATATTTGATTTAAAAAACACCTAAGCATGATGACACCTGCTTTATTTTTCTTTAATGCATAGACACATACACACAAATTAAGAACAATAAAAATGTATATTTGTTTAAGCTGCTATGGTAAAAACAAGGTGTATTTACAAACAACCCACTGCACTTGAACGCACCACGAGCTCAAGCCGGTTCGAACCAGTACGGCGCGAGATTCGGTTGTCATATAAAATCCATACATTAATATTTCTATTTTGTATTATCTATATACTTATTGATTTTAACTGGGAAGAAGCGCACCAGTACCTAAGATAACAATTCACACAAATACACACATTAGGATTAAATAGGAATACAAATGCAATTAGATTAAAATATTATTAAAATAATGTATTAAAGGTGGAAACTCTGATCCAGATTTCACAAAAAACCTTACGTGGCTTTAATGCATTATATAAATAACTGTCTTGTTGTCTTATATCAGTGTGTTATAAAACCTCTAATGACATACCTTGAACAAAAAGGGACTGTCCTACTAAGTTGTATAACACTAATAAAATATATTTTTGAATGTATAAAAGCGTATACACCCTTGTGAATACGTTACATCATCAAAAAGTTATATTAAAATATATTCAATATGGAAATAATGTTCAATATAACTGTACAGATGTTCCAGATTTCACAAAGGGACCTGACTTTCATTCACACTATTAATAAACACTGTGTTGTTGTATTATCAGTGTGTACTATGGATGTATAAACTACAATACATCACTGTGTTGTTGTATTATCAGTGTGTTAAACAGGTAATAGCATAAAAGGTGAGTGTGTTTCCAAGTTGTGTAACACTCAGTTTTGTGTCTGAACTCGATGACATTCAGCACTGAGAGGCAGATATGTGAAATAAGAAATAAGAGATAACACAGAGCAGACTTCATTCAGATGTTGATATTTAAAATGTACACTGGGAACAATAAGATGAAGTGTTTTGCAGCAGGAACTGGTCTGAACTGGACTGGAATCATCCTCCTCCTCCTGCTGCTGCACAGAGGCCGGTTTCACACCATAAAAAATACCCACTTCCGGTTTAACGTTTCAAAATAAAAGTCTGGCGAATGGGAGTTTGTGAGGGATAACAGTTTTTTTTAATAACAAATCTAGGCTTTTAGTCTTAATTCAGTAAATATTTTGTCTTTAACCAAATACAAATGTATGGCGCTACTTTTGAGATATGTTCATACTGGTTTGAACAATTGTATTTTTTATTGTAAATACTTGGTTTATTTTACATTCATTACAATTTAAAATGCCGTTTTGCATTAAAACAAGAATAGTTAGTATAGTTTTTTGAGTTTATTTGTTTTCTTTCTTGTTTTTGTCACTGCAACAGTTGTTTGATGTTTTATACAAATATATGTGTGGGGGAAACTTCTGAAGCAATAGGAGTCAGGACTCAGAGAGACACGATGGAGAGCTGGAGCTTTGATGGCAAACACTGACGGTTTATTTGGAGCTTCGGCCGGAGAATTCACACGACATGTCCCGGGCCACGGTCTGACCACACGGATGAGATGCCACCATCAGTTCTGAAGAACCTTCCTCTGGTCTGAGGTTTTAACTAGTTTCGCTGAGGGTAATCAACATTCTTCAATAGAGAGACTAAACAGCTGAGGACACTGAATCACAGTTGTTGTCTCTTATGGCTCGAGGTCATCTCCACCCTGAGAAGGATGTGTTCCAGGTGTCCCACAACAATAACTATCTCTGACTGAGAGCTGCCCGGTCACAAACTGGTGACATCAACAACTTGCTTGGGCAGCCCCTCCTTAGGGAGATAACGGCTGATCAAGGTTGGAGCATCTGTGTCAGAGGGCGAAAGGTAAACGTGTATACAGAATTATTCCCTGACAAACTGAATGTGTATTAATGGTATTTAAAAAAAAAGATATGATATTTAAGTTGGGACGTATTTGAGTGTAATATTGAGTGAAAACCCATTAACAACACATCAAGGATGAATGTGTATGCTTTTATTTTGAAGGGAGTATCTGCACTCAACCGGAAGTACCCTCAATTTCTCTCGGTAGTTTCACTAAGAGGCGCTCAGCTGTTCAGCATCAACAACACGGGGTATCACGCACAAAGACACAAAGTACCAGCAGCAGAGACAACAACAACATCAACAAACACAAACACACAAACTTCTGCTCTGGTGTTTAATTCTGGTTTTCCAAAAAAAAAGTATAATTATTTGTAGGAATGAGATCAGAACTTCTTTCATGCACCGAAACAGCCCGGGCAAAGATAAGGGGAAACGGAAGAGGATGACTGTGAGAAACGTCTGGTGTTATCTGATCAAAAAGATGTGTTTGTGCACGAGAGGAAGAGGAGAGGAAGAGGAGAGGAAGAGGAAACCAGTGCAAGTTGAACCCAGTGGATGAAGGATGAGGGAGATAACCAGAATGTTTCAGAATAAAACCTGTCAGCTATCTGACATTTCAGACAGAGCAACGCCAATATTATGAGTCAGCCTCTCCTCCTGTGAGTGTGAGTGTGAGCGTGAGTGTGTGAGCGTGTGAGTGTGTGTGTGTGTGTGCGGAGCATCCTCAGTGCAGACATACCTGAATCCAGAGACGAATGAAGCTGCTCCTTTTCAGTTAAATCTCTTAAAATGTCTCTCGTCGACAGACACAGACCAGAGAGGATCAGATGTGTTCGGTGGTTTCAGGATGTGTGTTAGTCTCTCTTTGAATCACTGTGTCTCCCCCTCATTGCTGCCGCTTTATAGCAGCGCAGCACAAACACCGAGCCCTCCATTGGTCCGCGGCTGAGCTAGAGACCAGCGGCAGCCAATCAGAGCGCAGGGACATATTACATGAGTGTTGTTTCTCAATACTTCGTTAATGTTGGGAACACAGGTGAACAGCTGATAGTGGTGGGATTAAAGAGGGGCTTTTGTGTTTATATACATATCTTTATCTCTATTGGACATTGTAGTTAAACTGCTTATATTTTACAAGTAACTTATATATTATTTTATTATGTAATATTAAAACACATTCTTTATATTTTATTTAGTTATATATTTGTATTCAAAACATATCATATATATTATTCTGAAATTGACCAATCTGCACAACGACTACTTTTACTGTCGTTACTTTCACTATATGTTGATGAGAATACTTTTCTACTTTCACTTGAGGAACATTTTGAATGCAGGACTTTTACTGTAACAGAGTATTCCTACACTCTGGTACTTCTGCTTTTACTCAAGTACAAGACCTGAGTACTTCTACTTTTACTCAAGTACAAGCTCTGAGTACTTCTACTTTTACTCAAGTACAAGCTCTGAGTACTTCTACTTTTACTCAAGTACAAGATCAGAGTACTTCTACTTTTACTCAAGTACAAGATCAGAGTACTTCTACTTTTACTCAAGTACAAGATCTGAGTACTTCTACTTTTACTCAAGAACAAGATCTGAGTACTTCTACTTTTACTCAAGTACAAGCTCTGAGTACTTCTACTTTTACTCAAGTACAAGATCAGAGTACTTCTACTTTTACTCAAGTACAAGATCTGAGTACTTCTACTTTCACTCAAGAACAAGATCTGAGTACTTCTACTTTTACTCAAGAACAAGATCTGAGTACTTCTACTTTTACTCAAGAACAAGATCTGAGTACTTCTACTCAAGAACAAGATCTGAGTACTTCTACTTTTACTCAAGTACAAGATCTGAGTACTTCTACTCAAGAACAAGATCTGAGTACTTCTACTTTTACTCAAGATCTGAGTACTTCTACTTTTACTCAAGTACAAGATCTGAGTACTTCTACTTTTACTCAAGAACAAGATCTGAGTACTTCTACTTTTACTCAAGAACTGAGTACTTCTACTTTTACTCAAGTACAAGATCTGAGTACTTCTACTTTTACTCAAGAACAAGATCTGAGTACTTCTACTCAAGAACAAGATCTGAGTACTTCTACTTTTACTCAAGAACAAGATCTGAGTACTTCTACTTTACTCAAGATCTGAGTACTTCTACTTTTACTCAAGTACAAGATCTGAGTACTTCTACTTTTACTCAAGAACAAGATCTGAGTACTTCTACTCAAGAACAAGATCTGAGTACTTCTACTCAAGAACAAGCTCTGAGTACTTCTACTTTTACTCAAGTACAAGATCAGAGTACTTCTACTTTTACTCAAGTACAAGATCAGAGTACTTCTACTTTTACTCAAGTACAAGATCTGAGTACTTCTACTTTTACTCAAGAACAAGATCTGAGTACTTCTACTTTACTCAAGTACAAGATCTGAGTACTTCTACTTTCACTCAAGAACAAGATCTGAGTACTTTCTACTCAAGAACAAGATCTGAGTACTTCTACTTTTACTCAAGAACAAGATCTGAGTACTTCTACTCAAGAACAAGATCTGAGTACTTCTACTTTTACTCAAGAACAAGATCTGAGTACTTCTACTTTTACTCAAGTACAAGATCTGAGTACTTCTACTCAAGAACAAGATCTGAGTACTTCTACTTTACTCAAGATCTGAGTACTTCTACTTTTACTCAAGTACAAGATCTGAGTACTTCTACTTTTACTCAAGAACAAGATCTGAGTACTTCTACTTTTACTCAAGAACTGAGTACTTCTACTTTTACTCAAGTACAAGATCTGAGTACTTCTACTTTTACTCAAGAACAAGATCTGAGTACTTCTACTCAAGAACAAGATCTGAGTACTTCTACTTTTACTCAAGAACAAGATCTGAGTACTTCTACTCAAGAACAAGATCTGAGTACTTCTACTTTTACTCAAGAACAAGATCTGAGTACTTCTACTTTTACTCAAGATCTGAGTACTTCTATTTTTACTCAAGTACAAGATCTGAGTACTTCTACTTTTACTCAAGATCTGAGTACTTCTATTTTTACTCAAGAACAAGATCTGAGTACTTCTACTTGAGTAACTGTTTGCAGTGTCTTCGCTGCAGCAGCTCCTTCAGAACATTTAGTCCTAAAGCCATAAAAGACTTGATTGTCTGTTTTAAAAGTTATATATTCTTATGTTCTGGGAAAACAAAAAGAGTACCAGAGTTATTAGAAGTTGTCCCTTGTCTGTGAATTGCTATCAAACAAGTCCTTCCTCCATGTTTTCTGTGCTTTCCTCCTAATTATTTTTGCCTGCAGGCTTTACATCTGTCCCGTCTCTCCCGCTGTTCTCCCGCGGCTTCATGACAGAACATTCCTGGAAAGCAAAGGGGAGGTTTCAGAGGAAGGGAAGCAAGCAAAACAAACTGAGAGAGATGTATTTTACTCTGAGGGCGCCCCCTGCTGGCGGCTTTAAGCAAACTGCAGGTGTACATTTCCCAACCAAACCTTCAAATTGTAGAACAGACTTTGATTGGCATCTCAAAGAGGATTTATTTAACAAAAACACTTTCAAACGCCTCCAACAAAAGCACAAACACAACATATAACTGGAGGAATGGTTATTGTGAAGGTTCCCAGTGAATGTACAACTCAAAATGCAGTCTTCTTAAAGCAACAATTATCCAATGAGAAGTTTATGTCACAAAAAAAACAAAAGATATAATCCAAGAGAAACAAGGCCTTAGAAAAATGTCAGATCTACGAAACATTTCAGCAGAAAAAAAAGACTTCCATAAAATAAGTCAGAGTTCAGAAGAATTCAGAAAACTTCGCAATTCAGAAAAAAGACAAATCTGAGAATAAGTCTGAATTACAAAAAGCTTCAGAACTACGAAAAGGTCAAAATTCAGAAAAAGTCAGAATAAAATAAAAATAATTTAGAATTATGAAAGATGTCACAAATAAGAAAAAAAAGTCAGTTATGAAAAAAAGTCACAAATAAGAAAAAATATGAATTATGTGAAAAGACTGAATAAAAAAAGAATATATTAATTCTATAAAAAAGGCGAAGTTATGAAAAAGACTTCAGAATTATGAAAAACGTCAGAACTACGAAAAAAATATGAATCATGGAAAAAAAGTCCAAAGTATGAAAAAAGTCATAATTATGAAAAAAAGCCATAAATCAGAGAAAAGTCATAATTAAAACGGAATTCTAAAAAAAAGTCAAAATTATGAAAAACTTAAGAATTATGAAAAACTTCAAAAGTCGGAATCATGAAAAAAATAATGGAAAAAAGTCTGAATGAAAAGTTAAAAAAAGGTGGAATTATGAAAAAACTTCAGAATTCAGAAAAATGTCTGAACCACGAAAAATGTCAGAAATATGAAGTAAAGTCAAACATCCGAGAAAAAGTCAGAATTCTGTGAAAAAAGTGGGAATTATGAAAAAAAGTCAGAATTATGAATAAAAACTTCTGAATTATGATTTTCTTTTTTATCTAATCGTCCATAATAACAAAACATCACAATTGATCAAATCTTATTATTTTTCAGGCAAAACATAGTTGTTGTCGTTTACCTATATGTAGTGTAGTAGACGTTACACTACATATCGTTAAATATAGACGTTAAAGGTGTCATGAAAAAAACAACAACACATTTTAATTTTTCAAATTTATTTTCAAATCTTTAGTATCTCATCTTTTAGTGTGTTTGTATAATCATACATTGGTTTGGTGCATACAGTAAGTCAGGAGTGCATCAGTGATTCAAAACACAGGAGCATGTTTAGTTTCTTTATCTCATAACTCCACATAAATCTGCAGTTTCTTTATCAAACAAGGCACAGGAACACGTTTGCATCGAAGCTTTTCCTCTCATTTATAACACAAACTGTACATATAGATCTCCCTCCTGAAAAACAACAATATAATAATATCATCATAGAAATCATACAACACAGAATCACTAGAAATCAAAAATCTTTGGCTAGTTCTTTTTAAGTGCAGAGCCGTGCACAGAGGAAGTCACGTCGTCGAGAACAACAAATAACTAAATGTTCGAGCTCCTCTTCAAAGTTTTTAATTTGAAACTTTAAGAGGATCAGTCTCTGGGCAACGCTAGACGGAGAAATGTTCTGCAGGAAACCTTCATCTGAACTGCTGGGATATTTTTAGTGTACAAGTATTTCAGATTTTCTTTTTACTATGTTTGGTGCGGAAGTATTTGAATCATTTCTTTAACTTTTTATAGTGTAGAACCATTTTACTAAAAATATTTAACTTTTTATAGTGTAGAAACAATTGTCTAAATTATTTAACTTTTTAAAGTGTAGACATATTTTACTAAAATATTTAACTTTTTAAAGTGTAGACATATTTTACTAAAATATTTAACTTTTTAAAGTGTAGACATATTTTACTAAAATATTTAACTTTTTATAGTGTAGAAATATTTTACTAAAAATATTTAACTTTTTATAGTGTAGAAATATTTTATTACTATTTTTAGTATTGCATAACAAGAAGATATTTTCTACCCTGAAAATCCTCTGAATGTTTTATATTTTCTGGTATCAAAGGAACAGTTTAATATATTTGTATGTGCCATTAGAGCTGCATTTTTCATGCAAGAAAATGTCTCTAAATGCTGTTTTCAGCCTCTCAAATATGAAGTTTTTTTGTCTTTATTTAGTCTATATAACAACACAGATTTCCTAAAGTAAAATAAGAAAATAACAACATTACAGATCATCAAAAATCACCATGTTTTTGGCATTTCAATATTGACTCATTTGGTCAAAAAATATCATGATAATTGATTGTCTGCACAAATCACAAATCAGAATATATCACATCTATCCCGACTTAATATGGCTTTAAATGAGTTTTAGTCGCACTTTTTGGAATAAATGCTTTTCAAATACAGAGAAAGATATTGAATATTAATCTAAAGTAAAAACATCAGAGCAGTTCAGTGTCAGGTGAGGGGGGGAGGCAAAGCAGGGAGGACATGGGGAAAAATTCAGGGTATTAATCTAAACTGAACTCGACTCATTCTCCCGTTGAGTGTCATGGTTTTCATCCGTTAATATCGAATAAATTAGTCAAAAAAAAGAAGGAAAGGCACGTCTTTCAGCTTCCTGTTCACCTTCCTCTCGCCGTCTCTCACATGCTTTTACTCTTCAGTTTCTTGTAGTGAATCCCACAGAATCTCTTATTCAAAACACAAGGATCCCTTCAATCCCAGACCCTCTACTCTGCCCACCTTCAAAAACAACCCCCAGTTAGAAAAGTTGAAAGTAAATACATTTCATTTGAGGCAAGAAACAAACCCTGGTTTTCATCGACGACTTCTCCTCTTATTCTGACAACCTTCCCTCATTGTTTTCTTGGTCAAGTTCCCAAAAATAAAGCACATTAAACACGCGGTGCGAGAAAAACGCACCGCGATATTTGTTATTCCTTGGCCTCGTATATAAAATCAGAAAATATTCAAACAGCAACAGTATTAACGCCCCAAAAATATAATATATAAACATAAATATATCAATTAGTTTGCTGGATTTGTATTTTTTTTGTCTTTTCTGTTATTGGAAGCACATTCCACCTGTAGTGACAGCTGGCGTCTGATTGGAGGAGGGGTGTGTGGTGTGTGTGTGTGTGTGTGTGTGTGTGTGTGTGTGTGTGTGTGTGTGTGTGTGTGTGTGTGTGTGTGTGTGTGTGTGTGTGTGTGTGTGTGTGTGTGTGTGTCATCATCTGGAGTTCAGTCTTGGAGCCGTCTGGATCCAAAAAAAAAAAAACGGCATGTCAAATTATTGATTTTATACATTTTTATTATGGCTTTAGATTATTAGTGATAACACAGAATTAGCTATTTACCAATTTTATTGTTTGCATTTTATCTATTGAAGCGAAACCATTTATTTTGTAAATTAAATCAAATGTAAGAATGTAATATTTTATTAGATGTTGCCACTCATTCAGCTTCGTGCTATTGGTGCTGATATTTTATATTTTCTGCCAAACATTCAACAGTTTCTGGTTTATTTCACAAGAGATTTCACATTTTTTTGATTTGGGAAATGGACTGTACTATAAAGCGCTTTATCAGGTCTTTACGACAACTCATAAAACCTCTGAGTCCTGAATACTCAGAGCCCAGAACATTTATTTTCAGATCCAACTCTGGTGTTATTAATTCAGACTAAGAAGGACATCTGAGGTGTCAACATTTGAGCTTTAGGTAATGTAAACATGCTCTAACGGAGGATATTCATTTAGACTCACCACAGACAGGTGTCCATTCTTGGCTTTGGCCACCAGGAGTTCTGATCCGGGCGTGAAGTCGATGATCCCCTCCTTCCCCTGAGCCACGCTGTACTTTATACTGAGAGAAGAAGAGGGTTAGTGGGTGAAGAGGATGCAGTGAGAAGGAGTGGAGATTTATCCTGCAGTGAGCGTTACGGAAACAAATGCAGGTTTACAACAAGTTAAAGGGGCCCCTATTCTACTCATTTTCAGGTTCATATAAGTGTGTAGTGTCTCTACTTTAAAGAGTCCTCTCCTGCTGATGTTCAGGTGTATATCAGTATGTAGTGTCTCTACTTTAAAGAGTCCTCTCCTGCTGATGATCAGGTGTATATCAGTATGTAGTGTCTCTACTTTAAAGAGTCCTCTCCTGCTGATGTTCAGGTGTATATCAGTATGTAGTGTCTCTACTTTAAAGAATCCTCTCCTGCTAATGTTCAGGTGTATATCAGTATGTAGTGTCTCTACTTTAAAGAATCCTCTCCTGCTGATGTTCAGGTGTATATCAGTATGTAGTGTCTCTACTTTAAAGAGTCCTCTCCTGCTGATGTTCAGGTGTATATCAGTATGTAGTGTATCTACTTTAAAGAATCCTCTCCTGCTGATGTTCAGGTGTATATCAGTATGTAGTGTCTCTACTTTAAAGAATCCTCTCCTGCTGATGTTCAGGTGTATATCAGTATGTAGTGTCTCTACTTTAAAGAGTCCTCTCCTGCTGATGTTCAGGTGTATATCAGTATGTAGTGTCTCTACTTTAAAGAGTCCTCTCCTGCTGATGTTCAGGGTGTATATCAGTATGTAGTGTCTCTACTTTAAAGAGTCCTCTCCTGCTGATGTTCAGGTGTATATCAGTATGTAGTGTCTCTACTTTAAAGAGTCCTCTCCTGCTGATGTTCAGGTGTATATCAGTATGTAGTGTCTCTACTTTAAAGAGTCCTCTCCTGCCTGATGTTCAGGTGTATATCAGTATGTAGTGTCTCTACTTTAAAGAGTCCTCTCCTGTTGATGTTCAGGTGTATATCAGTATGTAGTGTCTCTACTTTAAAGAGTCCTCTCCTGCTGATGATCAGGTGTATATCAGTATGTAGTGTCTCTACTTTAAAGAGTCCTCTCCTGCTGATGTTCAGGTGTATATAAGTATGTAGTGTCTCTACTTTAAAGAGTCCTCTCCTGCTGATGTTCAGGTGTATATCAGTATGTAGTGTCTCTACTTTAAAGAGTCCTCTCCTGCTGATGTTCAGGTGTATATCAGTATGCAGTGTCTCTACTTTAAAGAGTCCTCTCCTGCTGATGTTCAGGTGTATATCAGTATGCAGTGTCTCTACTTTAAAGAGTCCTCTCCTGCTGATGTTCAGGTGTATATCAGTATGTAGTGTCTCTACTTTAAAGAGTCCTCTCCTGCTGATGTTCAGGTGTATATCAGTATGTAGTGTCTCTACTTTAAAGAGTCCTCTCCTGCTGATGTTCAGGTGTATATCAGTATGTAGTGTCTCTACTTTAAAGAGTGCTCTCCTGCTGATGTTCAGGTGTATATCAGTATGTAGTGTCTCTACTTTAAAGAGTCCTCTCCTGCTGATGTTCAGGTGTATATAAGTATGTAGTGTCTCTACTTTAAAGAGTCCTCTCCTGCTGATGTTCAGGTGTATATCAGTATGTAGTGTCTCTACTTTAAAGAGTCCTCTCCTGTTGATGTTCAGGTGTATATCAGTATGTAGTGTCTCTACTTTAAAGAGTCCTCTCCTGCTGATGTTCAGGTGTATATCAGTATGTAGTGTCTCTACTTTAAAGAGTCCTCTCCTGCTGATGTTCAGGTGTATATCAGTATGTAGTGTCTCTACTTTAAAGAGTCCTCTCCTGCTGATGTTCAGGTGTATATCAGTATGTAGTGTCTCTACTTTAAAGAGTCCTCTCCTGCTGATGTTTCAGGTGTATATCAGTATGTAGTGTCTCTACTTTAAAGAGTCCTCTCCTGCTGATGTTCAGGTGTATATCAGTATGTAGTGTCTCTACTTAAAGAGTCCTCTCCTGCTGATGTTCAGGTGTATATCAGTATGTAGTGTCTCTACTTTAAAGAGTCCTCTCCTGCTGATGTTCAGGTGTATATCAGTATGTAGTGTCTCTACTTTAAAGAGTCCTCTCCTGCTGATGTTCAGGTGTATATCAGTATGTAGTGTCTCTACTTTAAAGAGTCCTCTCCTGCTGATGTTCAGGTGTATATCAGTATGTAGTGTATCTACTTTAAAGAGTCCTCTCCTGCTGATGTTCAGGTGTATATCAGTATGTAGTGTCTCTACTTTAAAAGAGTCCTCTCCTGCTGATGTTCAGGTGTATATCAGTATGTAGTGTCTCTACTTTAAAGAGTCCTCTCCTGCTGATGTTCAGGTGTATATCAGTATGTAGTGTCTCTACTTTAAAGAGTCCTCTCCTGCTGATGTTCAGGTGTATATCAGTATGTAGTGTCTCTACTTTAAAGAGTCCTCTCCTGCTGATGTTCAGGTGTATATCAGTATGTAGTGTCTCTACTTTAAAGAGTCCTCTCCTGCTGATGTTCAGGTGTATATCAGTATGTAGTGTCTCTACTTTAAAGAGTCCTCTCCTGCTGATGTTCAGGTGTATATCAGTATGCAGTGTCTCTACTTTAAAGAGTCCTCTCCTGCTGATGTTCAGGTGTATATCAGTATGGCAGTGTCTCTACTTTAAAGAGTCCTCTCCTGCTGATGTTCAGGTGTATATCAGTATGTAGTGTCTCTCTACTTTAAAGAGTCCTCTCCTGCTGATGTTCAGGTGTATATCAGTATGCAGTGTCTCTACTTTAAAGAGTCCTCTCCTGCTGATGTTCAGGTGTATATCAGTATGCAGTGTCTCTACTTTAAAGAGTCCTCTCCTGCTGATGTTCAGGTGTATATCAGTATGCAGTGTCTCTACTTTAAAGAGTCCTCTCCTGCTGATGTTCAGGTGTATATCAGTATGCAGTGTCTCTACTTTAAAGAGTCCTCTCCTGCTGATGTTCAGGTGTATATCAGTATGTAGTGTCTCTACTTTAAAGAGTCCTCTCCTGCTGATGTTCAGGTGTATATCAGTATGTAGTGTCTCTACTTTAAAGAGTCCTCTCCTGCTGATGTTCAGGTGTATATCAGTATGTAGTGTCTCTACTTTAAAGAGTCCTCTCCTGCTGATGTTCAGGTGTATATCAGTATGTAGTGTCTCTACTTTAAAGAGTCCTCTCCTGCTGATGTTCAGGTGTATATCAAGTATGTAGTGTCTTCTACTTTAAAGAGTCCTCTCCTGCTGATGTTCAGGTGTATATCAGTATGTAGTGTCCTCTAACTTTAAAGAGTCCTCGCCTGCTGATGTTGCAGGTGTATATCAGTATATAGTGGTCCTCTACTTTAAAGAGTCCCTCCTCCTGCTGATGTTCAGGTGTATATCAAGTATGGCAGTGTCTCTAGCTTAAAGACTATCCAAATCTCCTGCTGATGTTCAGGTGTATATCAGTATGCAGTGTCCTCTACTTTAAAGAGTCCTCATCCTGCCTGATGTTCAGGTGTATATCAGCATGTTAGTGTCTCTACTTTAAAGAGTGCCTCTCCCTGCTGATTGTTCAGGTGGATATATCAGTATGTAGTGTCCTCTACTTAAAGAGTCCCTCTCCTGCGTGATGTTCAGGTGTATATCAGTATGCAGTGTCTCTACTTTAAAGAGTCCTCTCCTGCTGATGTTCAGGTGTATATCAGTATGCAGTGTCTCTACTTTAAAGAGTCCTCTCCTGCTGATGTTCAGGTGTATATCAGCATGTAGTGTCTCTACATGTCTCCATGCTTTAATGTTCAAAAAGCTCTTTATTTTCTGCAGCACCTCTTTTCACCTTCTGTCTGAAACCAGAGCCCAGTCTGCTCTGATTGGTTAGCTGGCCGGCTCTGTTGTGATTGGTCAACCTCTCAGAGATGTCCCGCCCCTTAGCCTATCACGTAATGTGTTGGAGCGCTAGCCAATAGGAGCGCAAGTGTTAAGCACAGGGATTTCAGCCTCTGCAGACCAAAACCTATACTGTATAGGGCCTCTTTAAGTATCTCCCACTTCGAGCGATAGAACTATTAACGAAGCACTTTTATACTAATAAAGGACTGGCTTATCTAAAGCCAGTTGAGTAGCACTTGAAATGTTTGGCTCTATGAAACCTGATGTACTTTTATGATTCTGTTTTCTTCAAGGTTGTGTCTTCCTGGTCGAATGTACTTATTGTAAGTCGCTTTGGATAAAAGCGTCAGCTAAATGCAATGTAATGTAAAGCTCTGCGTCTCACCTGCCCTGGGTGATGTTGATGCTGTTGACTTTGTCCGAACAGATCGCGATCTTGGTCAAAGTCTCGATCACATGATCGCTCTGCAGAACCACGTCTCCCTGGGAACACACACACACACACACACACACACACACACACACACACACACACACACACACACACACACACACACACACACACACACACACACACACACACACACACACACACACACACCACACACACACACACACACACACACACACACACACACACACACACACACACACACACACACACACACACATTCAAATACACCTACAAACAGATTATAACCTTCATAAATATTTATATAATATCCTCTCTGTTCACCTTCTGCTTGTTGTCCTCACTGGGCACGTGCAGAACGAACACGCCGTCACTGAGGGAGCTGACGGAGATACCTGCGGGTGAAAAAACATTTATTAAAGTTATATTAGTTGAGAAATTGGAAGATTTTTGATTGTAAAGAATACTGTCGAAAAAAGTGAAAAAAACGACAGTCGAAAAAAGTGAAATATTAAATGACATATTTAAATGTTATTTGAACATGTTTTCAACCATGAAAAACGTTTCAGTTTACATTTTCATTAAATCATATTGTTTTAAATTAGTTTCTGTGTCTTAGTTTTAGTATAATAACCAATACCATCCACATTAAACCCCAATCCCTCCCTGCTTGTTGACCTCTGACCTTTCAGCGCTTCGTACTCGATGCGTTGTTTGAGTTTTCCTTCCTCCACGATGACGGCGCAGTTTGAGGTGAGCAGCAGCTGCCGGGGTCGAGGTTTGTATCCTCTCCGGTCGTACTTTGTGACGGGAACCGCATACTGAGGACGGAGAGATAAAAGGTCTTATTATGGTCTTTATCAACATATCCAGAGCCTGTCTCTGATTGGCTGAAACACCAAACAGATCATCGCGGCATTACCCATAATCCCCTCTGTTTCAGCCCTGTTTCCAAAGTGCTGATTCTCTGTCTGTTACTTCAGATGAAAATAAGGAGCCCCTCCCCACGCCCCTCTGAGAGACATTTGGTTACAAAGAACTCAATGGAGCTCTAGAAGGAGATTCAGGTCATAAGGGGGGGGGGGGGGGTTACCTTGGTTGCTGATTGGCTAATGGTTACACAAGACAACACATCGTGATGACATCATAAAGTGGCCAAAATCTGATCAGCTCATTTTCAGACAGGTTTTTATAGAAATGGATCAAAAAGAGAGAAAATCGTTGTTCCTGAAACTTTCAGAGTCTCTTTCCACAGAGGGGACACATGTTGATGTAGAAGAGACATGAAGAAGAGGGGACACATGTTGATGTAGAAGAGACATGAAGAAGAGGGGACACATGTTGATGTAGAAGAGACATGAAGAAGAGGGGACACATGTTGATGTAGAAGAGACATGGAGAAGAGGGGGACACATGTTGATGTAGAAGAGACATGAAGAAGAGGGGACACATGTTGATGTAGAAGAGACATGAAGAAGAGAGGACACATGTTGATGTAGAAGAGACATGAAGAAGAGGGGACACATGTTGATGTAGA